GACTCTAATCTGGGAGAACCGGGCTTGATTCCCCCACTCCTCCTCCACTTGCACCTGGCTGGATGACCTTGGGCAAGCCGTAATTCTGATAAGAGCTGTTCTGGGCATAGAGCAGGGGTCACTGGGGGTGTGGCGGGGAGATAGTTGTGAAAACAAGGACACAGCAGAGACAGAAGTCACGTTCCCTCTCTGCTTGCTGGGCTGGTTTTCTAGATGTGTTTTCCCAGTCAGTTTTTAACACAGGGGCATTCCAAGCTGTGATCTTCCATAAACAGCCGCAACCGCTGTCCCGTAATGTCAGGTGGGCAGCCATGTTGGTCTGCAGCAGAAGAGCAAGATTCGAGTCCAGGAGCCCCTTAGAAACCAACAAGATTTTCCAGGGCAGAAGCTTTTGAGAGACAAGGCTCCCTTCATCAGCTATTACTTGCATTAGAGCAAGGGAACTTTGCCTATCGAAAGCTTCTGCCCTGGAAATCTTGCAAGTCCCATTCTACTGTGCTGTTCTCCTATGCTTGCATGAACCAGGCAGCAGAAGAGTTTCAAATACAAGTACAGTGCAGTGGCCAGTGCTGAATCCAGACTAGGGAAATCCAGAGTCAGACCCCGGTCCAGGCATGAGATACACTGGGTGACCATGGGCCAAACGCACACATGTTCAGCCTAACCTACCGCACAGGGGGGGTTGTGAGGATAAACAGGAGAGGGCACGTGTATACTATCCAGAGCTTCTCGGAATAAAGGTGAGACAGACATGCGACAGGGATGTTAAAAAACAGCATTGGGACACACTATGGGGATTTCATACTTGTCTGCATAAAGACAACCAACCTAGGCTGAATTCAGGCCAAGGGTCCAACTAAGCTGGTATTCTGTCTCCAATCTAATGGCCCCAGGGAAACTCATAAACGGAGAGAGACGGGGTCCTGGTCAATGCTCCCTCTAAGCTGTGGAGTCTTGTGAGCAAAAATTCTACTTTGTGAGCTACTGGCACGAAAGTTGTGAGCGAGTGACTTGGCTCCTGCATAAATTAGTTTGTTTTAGAGCCATCCTTCCCGAGCTAAGACAAAAATCTGTGAGCCAGAGGCTAAAAAATTGCGAGCTAGCTCACACTAACTCAGCTTAGAGGGAACACTGGTCCTGGTGCTGAACCCCACAGGTGAGGAAGCTGGAGATACTCAAATGATGTTCTCCATACAAGTAGCCACATGTCCTTACCTTCCCTTGCAGGCACTCGATCAAGTGACCAATGGTCATACGTGAAGGGATGGCGTGGGGGTTGATGATGATATCGGGGGTGATGCCTTCACAGGTGAATGGCATGTCCTGGAGACGAGAAAAGGAAGAGTGAGGTCCATTTCCCCATCTTCAAAGTAATCTCGATTACAGCAATTTCTTGAAACTGTTCGGTCTGCTTTCCTCTATATTTAACCTCTCAAATTGATTAGCACAATACGCTCTACATGTGACTGCCCCAGAGACTTATCTGATGCTTCAAGGTTACTAAGAATTTTTCGGCTCAGATATTAAACAGGGATTGGCTGCAAAAAGTGCATTAAACCAATTCCTTCATCCCTCCCCCCCTGCACTACAGTGGCTTCCTGTGTATCTCTTGGTCCAGAGGGAAATGCCCTTTGGTCACCTCCACAGCTATAAAACGAGACTGGTGCAGTGGACCAGCAAGACAGCCTCCTTCCATAGGAACATCTCAGTCCTGAGGCTTTCACCGGGGGGGGGGGGGGGGGCTCCAGGCGGAGGGGTA